GGCATTCAAATTCCCACACCACGTCAGGGTACAGTTTTGTCGTGGTGATACGCCAATGACATTGGCTTAAACTGCCTAACCACTAACGTTGTTTGGATAACTCCATTTGGCTATTATATTGCTTCTCGGTTTTCTTCTTAGCACAGATTAACAATTAGTTTGCGTTAGCAACAGTTCACATCGTTTAGTGAACCTGCCTAAGAAGTTTTCTCCCGTTTTCCGTACAATGAACACACTACGTTCACTCTCATCGTCCCCAAGCTAAAGCCATGCATTCACCTCTTGATTTTTAATACTCTGTACGCAGATGCCTGAAGTTCAGTACCAGAAAATATTGGCGTTACACTTTAAATGTCTGCGTGTTTATTTCACAATGTGATACATTAATTTATTCACCTCGCAACACCACGAACCTCTTAGAGCTTCAGACAAGTGCGAATTAGCTAACCGATTGAGGCTGCTGCTAGGCGAAAACATCGGATAATTTTAACGACTCGGATGTTCACATGAGAGCATTACCGTAACAACTGAAATAGTCGATTTGCCCTCACACCATGTCCACTGAGTATTCACGCGGGTAGAGCAAGATAATATACTGGTTACTCAATTTACAATCAGGCTTAGTATTAGGAATATTGCATACATTTTCTGGTGCTAAATTTACTAGCTTGCCCATTTATCACCCCGGATCCTTCAAGAGCACATGGAACATCAACTACCAAACATATCGTGGGGCTTCAGAAGGAGTGGTAACCATAGTAACACCTGTTCGATGGCGTGCCTTTTTCTTGTGCACAGTCAAGTGCAAACGATGAATTGGTGCTTCGTGGAGGACGGAAGAACAGGTGTGGTTTACTCGCCTATAGGATCGATTTTAGTGATCAACGCCACCCAACACGTCCTTGTGTAATTTATTGCAGTCAAATTACTGGTTTACAAGTTTTCCCGTCGATTGGGGTTGCAGTTGAAACAACAATGTAAAACCCAGCTGGGGCAGCACAATTCATACACAGTACTCCACACGGTTTCCCACTATCCAAAATCGATAACACACCACCGCAAATAAGTCAATATCAACCGTCTTGTTCTACGGATTCCTTGAGGTCATCGTCGCATTCAGGTCATCATTATGTTGCACCCACAAGATCGGGTGAACTGCTTGAAATTTACTGTCCGCAACTGACAGTTCCAGATGTTTTCTGTTATTATACCCTGAATTGTTTTCTGCACGTATTCAGCCGTGTATCGTTTGTCGCAACAACACGAAAGGTTGACCGCGTTCAGGCACGAAAACTGATTGTGCCAGTTGTACTCCGGATCGATGCGACAGAAATGAAAATACTCCCTCATGTGCCTTAGGATCACGAAGCACAAATTCAGACACCGTCTTCCTAAACTCAACCATTTGCTATTTGCACGCACTGAACTGGGACACTTACACAGATCACACAGATTATTCCACACCAAAGTTGGTTATTTAAGGTCGCATACAGAACCAACCTACCTAATGTATTCTGCATGTATTATCCTTCGTGGGAGGCAACCACTTCACCCGTACAGAGTCTAACCTTAGATCTACCGTATAAGGTCGTAGATAATTCGCTTCGCTTGTGATGCATTTAGGCAGTTCGCTAGTGGCTCTAAAAGTTCAAGATCCCGTTAAAAGGGCCCATCGAGGTTTATAAAGAGAGAAAGCGGGCGAACGACTTTTGTTGCCATGCTGAAAGCTATAGTTGGTCTGCATCTTGTAAACTCCACAAGCCAAGAATGGTATGTGTAAGGCGAAATCGGGTGAAACGGGACCGAACAGAGTAGTGGTGTTCTCAAAGGAAACTCCGAATTGGTGGTCAAACATTTGTTCACGGGTCTCGCCACAACATCCAATATTCCGCCCCTGTTCCCGAGACATAGTGAAGAACTGCAAACTTTTTCAATATGCACACACAATGCGAGTAGTACCACACAACAAGGTGATTACAGCGGTATGGTACACTCGGAAAGTCCACAAAACCTCTGCAAACTGAGCGATCTGTGAACTTCATGTTTTCCTTGTAGTTAATTTCAATATTATGATCCCTTTGTACTAGTAGCCGAAGTCGAGTCCGAGCTTACGGTACTTTCGCCTGAGTTCACCACGGAAAACGGTGTTCGTCACGATTGCTCTCTTGCTCCTTTTTAATTGAACTTTGATTATGGAAAACAGCCGTCCTCGTGCGAGGATAGTGGCATCCAGGTGGTGATAGACTGTCTGATGTGAAGTATACAGACGACATTGTGCTACTAAGTGAATATCCAGGTAAGTTGCAAGGTCTTCTGAATAGTGCCAACGTAGCCATGTTCAGGTATACGTTTTGCACATTGAAAGTTCACCACTCAACTTCAATCTAACTGGGGAAGAAATGGACAAGTTTTGTTATTTGGGCAGCTATATCTCACTCGGTTGACGCATCACAGACGAAGTGTCGGTACGCATACAGAAGACTCGGTTGGCATTTACCAATTTCAGATATCTGTAGCACCGTCGCGACATCCGGCTGTCCGTGAAGGGTGGGGTGTATGCTCCGGCAGTTCGGCAAGTTCTACCTTGAGGCGTAGAAACTTGGTCAATAAGAAACCAGAATAGAGACTGTCAGTGATAGAGAATCAACGAGATGGGCAGGCCATGACGTGGCGCAGAGGGTTAAAGAGATTGTGCTCGGATCTGGCTTCCGTTGGGGCTTCTCGGCCCCCCGGCTGGGTCCCCAAAGATTCAGATTGTCTTTGGCTGGAGACACTGCGGGATATGGCATCAAACCGAAATCAGTGGCGCGAATGTGTCCTCTCCTGTTTCCAATCCCAAAAGTAAACAAAAACGGAAAAACTCAAAATGGCGTGCAGTAAACAAACAAAAGGTTGTTACTCCCCGAAGCTGGCTGTTTTGTTATTCCCATTTTTCACCTGTATTTTTCGTTCACCCATGAATATTTTTGGCGCCGTATCTGTAAAGATTGGTGTTAGTA